CTTGTGTTTGCACTTTGTTCTGTATTGCTTTAGGGGACACACCAGTGGAGAGGTGTATTCGTATTTGTTTAAGGAAGTACCATACTGTTTTCCACAATGGTTGTGCCATTTTGCAATCTCACTAGCAATGCGTGAATGTTCCAATCTTTCCAGCCTCGCCAGCATGTTGTTTCATTTTTTTGATTTTGCTAAGCCTGTCAGCGTGAGGTGCTATCTTGTTTTGTGTCCTTCTGTTACGGCGAATGATCACAAGTATTTCTTCATGGTTGGCGGCGGCCTAGATCCATCTTTAGTAAGTTGCTTATCCATGTCCTTTGCCCATTTAAAAAATTGGGTTATGTGTATTTTTCTTATTAAAGCGTTGTAATTTTCTATGGATTTATCTACTACATCATTGCAAATATTTTTTCACTATCTATGGGTTCGTTTCACTCTTGATGAAATCTTTTTATGTCCCTAAATGTAGTTTGGAAGGTCCTAGTTCTCTATTTTGTCTTTTGTAGTGTGGATGTTTTTCATTATGTTTGGTAGTGTATTTATGCTTTGTATTCTGGCCCTTAAGTTTGTTTTTTCATTGAAGATCCTTATAGTTCTAGGATTTAAATCCAGGTCTTCTTCAATCCACCTTGAGTTCACTTTCAAATATGGTGTGAGGTATGGGTCCTGTTTCATTCCTCTGCAAGTGGAAATCCACTTATTGAAGTTGTAGCAATACTCTTTTACTGACCCTTTACTTACCCTTTACCTTCTTAACTAAACACCAAACTGGTTGCCATCAAGTTGATTTTGATCCCTGAAAACGCTCTAGAATAAACTGTTCCATAGGGTTTCCAAGGTGGTAATCCTTACGGCCCCAGACTTGTCACGTGGAGCAGCTGGTGCGTTTCAAAAGGCTGACCTTTCAGACAGCAGCCCAGCGCCATTACCTCTCCCAAGGTCACCTTCTGCTCCAGTGCCTTGGAGTTGATTCCAACTCGTTGCAAGCTCCGATCGGGGCAGAGAACTGACGCCCGGGGTTTCTTTATGGAAGCATACAGCGCCATCTTTTTCCTGTGGAGTGGCTGGGGGGTTTGAAGTTAGCGCAACTGCAGTTGGTACTTACCCACTGTGACATCTTCTCATTGCCACCAAGTCAATTAAAAGAAAAAGCATTTAAGTCTGACTCGTAGCACCCCTATAAGGCAGGTAGAACTGTCTCTGTGGGTTTTCAATACTGTAACTTTTTATGGGATAGAAAGCCTTTTCTTTCTCCCAAGAAGCACCCAGTGGTGTTGAACTGCTAACCTGCTTAGTAACCCCATGTGTAACCACTAGGCCACCAGGGCTCCTCTGTGCCATCTTAGTTACTTCTTCCCATAGCAGGCGGCTCTTGTGTTGAGGCTGGTCACAGGGAAATCTCCATTCCAGATAAACATCCAATAAAGAAGGCCACGTTATTGTCGACTGTGATCGTTCCATGCTGACAAGTTCATTTGAGTCACAGCAGCCCAGTGGGCAACAGAAACCATACACCAACTCACGCGGATCACTCTGTGACGGTGATTAAACTCTTCCAATGGTACCACCAATTTCACCCTCCTTTTCTGAGGTGCTCCTCCCTACATGCACTGTCTCCCGAGGGTCTGATCTTTCAAGCTGCTGCTCCCAATCTTATGCCATGCAGTTAACGGAGCGGGATACGGTTTGGAGTCCACATGATTCCCAGAGAATTCTCTGGGGTGCTGGAGGCCATGCCCAGGCCTTCGGCATCACTGTCTCCTCACCCAGGGGAGGGAGCATAGCACCCTCTAGGCTACTCACAGTCACTGGGTGCAAACCAAGTCATCCTTCCTCCAACCACTGTCATATGGTGTCTTATAAATTCACTCTCTTATCATTAAAAAGCTGAAAACCTCACTGCTGTCATATCAAGCCTACGGAGCACACGAGCATGGCCCCGGGGGCTCCTGTGACTGCCTCTTCTCTGCCCCTCAGAGCAGCCGGGTACCCCACTGGGCCTCCTGGGCCCCCATCGTAATCAAGACATCTCAAGAAGGGGGCAGTACGGGCCGACTCTGAACACACAAACATGAAGTCGGTTTTATGAATTTTAAGTCCGATGTAAAACACTTTAGACTTTGAAAAAAGATTCAGGTTGGTGGACACTCCCCTCCCCCTCCCGAGACTCTGCCCCCTGGACTCACCCCCATGGCTCAACTTCCACCCCAACAATAGGCAGGTCTGGGAGGAGCAGTAACACTGGGGAGGCCGGAAGAAGCAATCCTTTTCCACTAAATGGGCATGGGCGTACCTTACCTGAGGGCCAGGAGACAGAAGCCACAGGAGGCGGGAGAAGTGAAAATACATCCAGGGGGTGTCATCAATGAGATGGAACAAGCTGTGTGAATTGTTCAGCGGAAAACTGATTTGCTCTGCAAACCTCACACCCTGACAGTAAAATATCTTAATTTTCAAGTCAAACTTACCCTGGGCAGCCACCTCCTGTAAAGAACTAAACGGCTTTCAGGCTTACAAACTGCACAACCCAGTGTAAGTACCAACACGAGGAACTCGTGACCGGCGACAGAGCTCGGGCATGGAAGCAGGAGCATGCTCGGGATGAGTCAGAACGAGCAAGGACCGAGCCTGGGTCCGTCCCAGCAGAATGTGCACTCCAATGGTGCGGTAGTCACATAATCTGCTGTCAAGCTGAGATTACTAAAAGGGAAGGGGTGGCGGATAGCCTGTCAATCAGGTCACAGCTTGACTTCATTTGGAGGTGCTAGGGAGATAGATAACTCCCTGGAGGCGGGACACATATATACTCCCTGCGAGACACTCCTGTTGACAAGTCACATGGAGCTACGCTAGAGCCCTGGAGCTGAAGGAGCCACGTGGAGACCCCTGCCAACGCTGAGATGCTTCCACTGCCACTGGAGCCACAAGACTTTCCAGAAACTGGCCTGTGATTCTCCTGCATTCAGCGTCATTGCATGTGTTGTGTGAGTCTGAAGAGGAGTTTATAGATTGGTGTCGGACATATGGGCTAATATCGGACTTATGGACTTGATCTGGACTGGGCTGGGATGTTTTCTCAATATTCAATTGCTCTTGTATATAAAGCTCTTTCTTATACCCATGTGAGTGTCTATGAATGTGTTTCTCTAGTCAACCCAGACTAACACAAGTGTCATGAGACAAAAGCTATAGTATCAACAGACACTCAAGGGTACAGATTCCAAAGAGGAAGCAGAGGACCGAGTCGTGTCAAACAGTTTTTTACTGTTCACTGACAAGCGCAGGTGTGCAGAGTCTACTGCATACTGCAGTGAAGGCAAGTCTGACATTGCAAGTATGCATAACATAAAAGTATCGCTTACAAAAAAGTTACATATTTTGCATACAGGACCCACCTCTCCAAACTACATTTTAATAAAATATTAACTTTTTAACTAATAATAATTATTCATTACAGAATTACTAAAAGAGAAACGTAAACCTTACAACATAACGAAAATATTCTACACTTTAAACAAAACACCGAAAGTAGATGTATGGTGGCATCTGCCTGTCCATCTGGAGGGAGGGATGGTGGGGCCGGAAGAAACGGATGATGCCTGTGACAGGCTGGCCACCGGAGCCTGCAGGCCCCTGCCCTTGGCTAGCTCCACCCTGGGTAAGGTAGACGCGAGCAGGAGGGACACCAGGTCAGAGGCAGCTTGCGTTGTTACCTTGGATGCTGCTTCAACAGGGAGTGTTGTAGGTGTGAACCCCCACCCGGAGCTTGAGAAGAGAAACCTTCACATTGGGCTCGGAAGCCGCTTCCTATTTCAGATGCTCTAGAAGAGACTGCTGCTGCTGTGTTGCCTGTCAGGCAGGCCAGGCGAGGAGCAGCAAACCTTCCCCAGGTATCACTGTGCACCCAAAGCAAGGAAGACTAAATCCAGAAACAGCTTTTATCAGAGCGCAATGAAACGGATCTCTCTCGCTCACATGGCCACATTTGCAACGGGTCTCACAAGTCCAACATCAACTCTGACTCTCAGCCACGTACAACTGCACCATCTTCTCAGCACGTCCTCACAGGGCTCAGAGAGCTCACCTTGGAGTAGACATGCCAAAAAGGAGCAAGAGGCATCTTCCTGCTTGCCCGGGAGTGGCAGAAGTCCTGGGGCGCATGCCCTCTGCGGTGCTCGGGCAAGGCTACCAGAAACACTGGCCGTCGGACGGACTGTGGTTCTCGGGAGCCCAGGCCACGAGCTCCCAGTCTCGGAGCAGCCAGCGGTTCCTGCCCTGTGACAACAGTCGCCCATCAAGGAAAAGCTTCTTCCCACCTGAGCAGCTTTTTAAATAAATGAGGTTTTGTAATACCTCAGCTTCTCCACTTACTATTAAACGCTTAATGCACAGAGGACATCCGCAAGGCTCAAATATGAGTAAGCTTCTCAAATCTTTAATGCGTTCCAAATCGATAAACATGTGATCAGACATTCAAGACATTTGTAAGTCAGTACTAATAACTAAATATATAAACACACATAGACAAATATACACACAAGAGGGGCATAAGCGTTCATAGAAAAATTTCATTATCTTTAATTTCCATTTTTCAATGGACTTTTTGAAGCCTCCTTGCATATGTACTTATTCTACTAATCAAAGAATACCACATGCTGATAAGAACATAAATTCCAGCCCATTAGTATCTTACTCCCCTTAACTTTGCACAGTAAAGCCTAGTCTTCAGTCTCTGTGCCCTTGGCTCATTAGTCTAAAGAGAAAACTGTATGAAGCTGGAAAACTGCAGAGGCCAATGGAAGTGGCAGCAGCGGCAGCAGCACTGAGGCAGGCTGGGGGAGTAACTGCCATCGCTCAGGAAACTGTTGGCAGCCTTTCTCCTCTCGAATCTCTAGGCTACGATGTCCCTGTAACTTTAACATGGGGTGTGTGCGCCATTGTTAACTGATAAAGGTGTATTTCTGGTCCCCGGAATGGCATGAGGCCAGCACAAAAGATTGGCCACGTTCCTGTTGTGAACACGCACATCCTTCTTCCTCATCAAAGTATTGCCCAGTTTGCCCGTCTGCCGAGTCTCTGCTGAGCCCTCTGGACGTTCTGCCGGAGGGCTTCAACGTGGTTGCTAAGAAGCTGAATGGATACTTTGGGTCTGTCTTCCTATGGCAGGGATGCTGACTTTGTGACCCAAACCCATCGAATGGTACTAAACTTAAGATCATATGGATTCTGTAAAGGCATGAACTTGACAACTTAAAGATCCATTTCCATTTTTACACTATTTATTTTGGGGGAAAGTGTTGTGCAGTATCGCTTCACGGGAGCCAAATGAGAATGTCCCCACCCCTCTGGCAGCTTGGTGTCCTCAGCTTTGGGTTAGCCTGCCACCCGCTCAAGGCAGCCTGTCCTGGGCACATTCAACACCCAGCCCATAACTGAGGTGAACCGCTGGCTTTGTCTCAACGGCCCGGCAACGAGCGTTCCAGATGTGAAATACTGCAGCCAGCAGCGCTTCACCACGAATGACCTTCCACGCCAAGGAGCCAGAAAGTCATCAGGTTTAGTTAAAGAAATTGAACCCAGGCTCAAAACCAATGTAACCAATGTCTCAAAAAGAACAATCTAGAATGAGGGGAAAAACAAAACAGAGAAATGCAGCTTACTAATCAGTGTCTTCCTGCGGCTACATGTAGCTCCCACAGCAGGGTCCTGGGCACACCCATGACAGCAGAGCAGGGAGCTAAAGAGCCCTTTCGGCTTTTGTAACATCAGTGCGTAAACAGACTAACCAGCATTTGCCATCCAGGTGTTTCTTTGTCCAGCCCAGGTCAGGAGTCAACTAGAACCCCGGGTTCTTCAATCCTTAGGCTGCCCGTGTGCCAGAGAACACCAGGGGCCCTAATCAATTCAATCTGCCAGGTGGAGCCCAGAAATGGGCATTCTTTAGGCTCCCTAGGAGGTCCTCGCGTGCAGGGGACACACACCACACTAGGGTAGCTGTGGCCTGAAAGCCATGTGAGTGGGGCCTGTATCTAGATAGTTCCATTTTCCCCAAATCCCAGCAGGAAAAGCCACGTTTGGAACAGGGCACAGCTGTGCCGGTGCCTGCTGCCGGGGGTGCTGCCCCCGAGGCTATCTGGAGCGCTGGCTGAAAAGAAGGAAGTCCTTGTCCTGGCACAGCAGGCAGAGCTTCAGGGTCCGGCCGGAGCCTCCAGCAACGAAGAACGCCCAGACGCCCATGAGCACCAGCACCGCGTAAGCCAATGCCAGGTTAACCCCGTAATGAGGGCTCACCAGGGTCTGCAAAGGAAGCACACATCAGCTTGGGGAAGAGCGGCAAGTTGAGCGACCCCGCAGATAAAGGGGATGCTGTCGGAGCGTTCTCGGGAGCCGCACCCCCAGCCCCGGGTCTGATTCACAGAGACCCTTCAGCATGCGGGAGGAGGTCCGATTCTTCAGGGACTCCAAGACTTTAGGGTCTGGTTTTCCAGCTTATCCTTAGGGTTATCTACACACTGTGAATAAGTGAGTTGGGATTCACTCCATGGCAGCTGAGTTCGTGGTGATTTTGGTTTTTTAAAATACACTGTAAATAACCAGAGCATTGATTTCTCAAGTGTTTTCAAATGAAATCTTAATACAGAGTAAGAAAACACATTAAAAAAAAGAAAGCAAATGAAACTAATCAAAGTGGAACTTCTCTTTTTACCCAGAGCTGTAGGTCTCATCGTCCCTGCTGGACCTTGCTCTTGTGGTCCCTAAATCAGACCTCCAGGAGTCTCTAAGGCTTTGGGGAATACGGTTTTAAAAATGTGTGACAGTAAATGTTTGAACTCTAGGACCGTAAGGAATCTGAGCGTATATGACCACGGGCCTAGAGGTCAGCAGCGAGCGCTTAACCAACGCGCCACAGGTTCCCTTTGTGGAGGAGCACTACGGCAGAGGACCCACAGAACTAGTGAATTAACCTAGGCAGCAGCCACTGCCCTTAGAGCCCACGCACACGTGCTTTGTTGTGTTCAAATGGGAACCCGAAGACGGTGTCAGAAGCCAGGACCCAATGGGAAGTCCGAGAGAAGTCCATGTTCTATCATGTGGGCCCTCAATTTGCCTTTGGGATGTGCAAGAAAGCGAGGCCGTCTCAAACGGCGTTAGGTAAGGAACAGCACTGTTTTCAGCTTGCAAGGGGCTGCGCGTGCCAGAATCAATGTAATTGCGATGATCTACTAGGATGGACAAGCACCAGGTGATCTACTCACGTGGACAACGGAGGCCCTGAGGAAGTGAAAGCCGAGACCTCAAGGCGGAGGTCGAATGAGTCATGTGATGAGGGAACAGGTCATTCCCAACCAAGAGGAGTGCAAATAAAAGAGAGCAATGAGCTTGGGGCACCTGGAGCCTGAGAAGGGGTCAATGTTAATGAGAAGCAGTGATGGAGCCAGGAGCATGGGAGGTCAGAGAAGCAGGCAGGGGCTGGGCTGGCAATGCTGTGTTAAAGGAAGGGGCAGGGACTTTCTCTGCAGACAAGCAGAACTTTAGGTAGGGAGCTGAAGAATGACCTGATTGTGCTTTCACAGCCACGGTGACGTGGAGAAGCCAGCAGACTGGGGAGGGTGCCGTGGAGCTGGCTTCAGACTGCACGGGGTGGTGGTGCTGGTGGGTATGACCAGTGCTGGGCAGCTCTGTCCGATTCAGAATAGTTCTACGTCTCAAAATCTAACCCACTTCATAGGGAGGTGAGCTCTTGCATTTGTCTTTAAAAAATTTTCCCCCTCTTTTAAACAGAAATCCAGAATTATTGTAGAATGTTAGAATACACAAGTAGCAAAATAAACTTAAATGATTGAAATACACGTTTTCTTTCTCAAACAGGGCATTAGAAGTGCAAAACCATCAAGAAAAATAAATAAATTGGACGACCTTAAAATTAAAAACCTGGTCATCAAAAGTTCATATTCTGATGTCACACCAGAGTAGAAGTATACGTAATACATCTGACAGAGGGTTCTCTTATGTAATATATAAAGAACATCAATCAAAACGAAAAAGATGGACCACCCAATAAGACGCTGGGCAAAAGATGTGAAGACCCAATTCACAAAATAATTATCCAAATAGTCAACAGCATATGGTGAAATGCTCACTCATTAATCATCAGGGATTCAATTAAAGCTATCATGTGACACCAAGGCACTCCCAGCGGGATGAGCAGCCTGAAGGAGGAAGTGGAGGAAGGGCAGCTCACGAAACCGGGGTAGTAGAAATCAACTCACACCCTCTGGGAAATGGAGCGGTAAGAAGAGCTGACCGATGCAGACCCCACACCCAGCATCGCTCTTGGGCATGTACATAAAAGACGCGTACAGATGTTGACCAAGAGACATGCACAATTAGTCATCAGAGTTAAGACCCGGAGGCCGAACCCGCAACTCTCCACTGCAGAAGGGACGCGCTTTGGTAGGGTCACACGAGAGAAGACTGCCCGGCAATGAGTAAGCTAAGTACAGCCATACACCGTACCTAAACACAGAGAGGAGGGGCTTCAAAACATTCGTGGAAAAAGCCAATGAACCTTTCATTCCACATAAAGTCCATAGAAAAGTACAAACGTTTTGAAGTTCCCTCATCTATCTTGCAAACATAATGCTGCACAAAAAAAGGCAGACACAAAAACTCAGAGATGATTCTGTTGACGGAAAACACTAAGAGGCGGGCCAAATGATGGTGCTAGCAGTCCGGAGAGTGGCTGCTATTAAGGGCAGCGAGGGGAGGAGCGTGAGGAGGCCCTGGGGGCTGACAGTCTGGTTTTACTTGTCCTCTAGGCTCTGGTTAGAGAGGTATGTTCATGTTGTGCTACACACTTCGAATGCAAACGCATTCCTTCGTGCATGTGATTTCTGAGAAAGCGATTACTTCAACAATCATTCTGGGAAATCTTCCACTGCAAGGTAACATTTTAGACCGAAGGTAAACCCACTGCCATCAAGCTGATTCAGCAGGACTGCAGTCTAGGCTCTGCAAGCCGAGACTGTCCCGGGAGCGGTCTCCCGAGGGGCAGTCCAGCTGCTGACCTGTGGTTAGCAGACCAGAGAGGAACCCACCGCACCTGGTACGTTACGACAAGGTGCCGAGTTCCAGAGACCAGCGTGACG